GAAGCCCTCTTCGGAGTTCGAGGGGTCCCCGCACATGCAACCATTTCAAGGTGGACATATACCCCATCTGCGTGCCCTCTGTTGTTGGTAGATCTAACCAGTCCGTATCCAAACACACGAACACCCTCCCCGGTTGGCCTTCGAGAACGTCGACGAAGACATAGGACGGTAGACGAGGAAGACGGCGAGCTCAAATGTGATTGCGGCTTCGAATGCGAATACTGTTCGTTTATGTCCTTTACTTGGAAGGGGAAGACATTTTATCTCTTGTATTTGTCACGCAAGGGGAGTAGGGAGAAGTGAAGCCCTCCTTGGAGTTCGAGGGGGTCCCCGCACATGCAACCATTTGAAGGTGTACATATGCCCCATCCGCGTGCCCTCTGTTGTTGCCGGTAGATCTAACCAGTCCGTATCCAAACACACGAATACCCTCCCCGATTTGCACGTGAATGGCAAACCTAACGTGGGGCATTGATACCCCTGATCTACCAAAGGAACTCAAAACAACAACAAGCTCGAGGGGAAACCCGGCCAACCGGATCAAAAACCCTCGCCTAACACCCTAAATATAGAAAATCGTCGCTATCACGGAAGATTCCAACGGCCGCACTTCCAAGGCAAGACCAAGGCAGGACAGATTGAACCGGTCACGCTGATTACACACCCGAAGCAACGCTCTCGGCGATTCTAGGCTCCAGCCGCGGGTGACGCGCCGGCACAACGCTTCCTGCGTGACGTACCATGGTCATACATGCCAAGTGCTAAAACCACCACATAAACCAAACAGAACAAGATAACACTACATCGGTAGGTTCATCAGAGCCTTCCGGTGGTACTCTAACTTCTCTTTGCCAAGGACCTTGGTCAGCATGTCGGCGTGCTGCTCTCCAGTCGGAACATACTCTGCAGTGATCTTGCCCGACTTGAATAGCTCGCGAATGAAATGGAACCGCACGTCGATGTGCTTGCTCCTCGCTGAGCTGAGCGGGTTCTCGATTAAGGCGAGAGCCCCCTTGTTGTCCTCAAGGACCTTGATCTTCGCCCCACTCGTCTCGGGCGCTATGAACGACAGAACGCCACGCACAAACAACGCCTCCTTCACAGCTAACCCGATCGTAGAACGCCTGTCTACTTCGTTGTCAGCGTAGCTGGCATCGACAACACGCTTAGGTCTAGTCCTGACCCCCGTACGTAGGTGATGCCGAAGTCCTTCGTGAAGTTCAGGTAGGACATGATCCGCACAAGCGCGTTCCATATCCTCCCGGTGGGTGAGTGGGCGATCTTCTGGAGCTTGTTCAGAGGCAGGGCGATGTCTGGCCTCGTCAGCTTCG